AGTTGAAGTCCACCCATCTTAAAGTTGCTGAGGTTGAGGAACCCTGCTATATGAAGCATCCTTCTTTCCTTGTTCCTAGCTCTGCTTCTGTGCTGTCGGTGTTACTCTCCCAAATAGAAATGTAGTAGATGAACCTTTCCTCCATCCTTGTTATCTGCATGGCAGGAGAGAGAGTTTTTATTCAGTTCAAAGAAGAGTTGCAGAGTAGTGTGGAAATAGGGGTCAGGGATGAAGAGCAGCCCGTGAGCTAAGGCACGAAGTAGTGCCCAGCAAAAAGACTCAAAATATTCTGTTGTCTTTGGCAGCAGTTCAGTATGCTGTGAAAGTTTATATGGTAGTGGAGATCAAGCTACAGAGGATCTCGCTGGTAGGGGATTAAACAGCTGGTCCCAGAGTCAGCAGCAACAATTCCTGCCTCACTAGTCAAGGAATGGGCTTGATACCTATCATGTTCCACACGATTTATCCTCGTATCCTGTTTACCATGGCATGAAGACACATCACTAACAGCTTTTAAGGAACGTGTCCTCATGACGTTGCTCCCATCTTGTCCCAAGCCTGCCATGAGAGCAGCCTGAAGTTGTCTTTAGTTCTGAGGTTAAAGTGGTATTTTCCCTCTTGTCCTATGTCAGATCTTGCCCAACAGTCCACAACAGCTCGTGATGATGCTAGCAATGATATTGTTGGGGGCAGGGCTCTACCCAGGTCTGGTTGTTCACGATAGGTGGGCCTCTCCCTGACCAATCACTGCTTCTTTGGCTTGGCTTGTAAGAGAGACTGGACACTTCTCTTGTGCAGAGGCATCTGCCCATTTAATGCCTAACAGGCAGCTCAGAAGTACTGGTTAAACATTGCATGGACTTCCCATTTAGATAGGTCTACTAGTCTTCTGGAAGACCGGTAGACATGCATTCAAACCTATGTAGAAAAGGTGGCTAGACTAATTGGCTAAATTGACTAATGTTGGTCAGTTTAAACAGAAGCATAGGAGAATGCAGGACGGAGAAGAAGATAACTTGTAGGCACAACAGGGCTCCTTTCCACATCAGCTGATGCCCTTTCTGTGCCCTACCAACCCCGTGAACCAGGATATATTTTTTTTCTTGACAATGGGATAGCAGCCTTCCAGAAGACTAATAGACTGGTGTCCACTTGGGTAACTTGAAAGATAGCTAGATTCTCAGCCTCAGCATAATTGTAGAGCCCCGACCCCACCCTACAATACTCCACAATACAGTATGAAAAGTGGCTATTTTTCTTACTAGCAAACAAGCAAGCATGACGATCATGTGTATTGGCAGGTAGGAGTGGTGGGCGGAGCAAATGACAACGTACAAGTAATGAAATAGTCACACAAATCCTGACACAAGTATGTAATCGTGGCCTTTGTATAATTCTGTCATCATGTGTGTGACTATGGTTTGTTGTGCCCAGTACTGCCTATGCTAACTGGGGATTCCCAGGCTGCTAACAGCCTAAGGAGATTTTGACCCCTTTGCTTTGGGGAAGGCAGCACTTTAACTATTTTAAATGTCTATACCCACATTAGGCCACCCAATCCAGGTTACAAAAACTTCAGTGACCTCTTGATGGCAGCAAAGTTAGACTTTCTTAAACATTTTGCAGTTGAAGGAATATCAGCCTATCCTACTGTGCAAGTTTGTTGAAAAAGTAAAAAGCTGGGTAAATAGGATTGTGAGATCCTTACGATGATGAGGAGGAGGATGAAGATGATGATGATGATATAGAGAACTTGAATATACAGTCTCTTTTCTATTCACGGTAGATAAAAAATATTAGAAATCTGGAGTTGGACTGACAAAAGTTGCCAGTTCTCCTCCCAATCCTTCCAGGATAGGCAGAAATTTGGTATGTGAAACAGTCATCTGAGTTTAGCAAAAGAGTCACATGTTTTATGGTAAGCTACTGTTAAAATCACATAAGTAAGGCCAATGAAAGGGAAATGCTGCACCAGTGGATCTTCTGTATGAAGGCATGACTTCTGCAAAGGAGAAAGGTTTCAGTTTTCTCTTGGAAATAGGCAACTCATCTTCAAGTCAACACTTCTTCCCTTCTAGCAAGCTTGTACCATGGTGTTTTCTGCAACCTTCTTAAATTGTCTTTCTGTGAGCCTTGCTCCAGTGTGGTCTACAGCCCCACTGATCCATTTCTTAAGAATCCTGAATAATACAATTACTGACACAACTACTCTACTGGCTAATGGAAAAGTTCTAGGGGGGCCTATATCTGATTCTTTTGCTCACTTGTTATGAGATTATTATTCTTTGCTTTCCCTACTCAGA